CCAAGAAGTCCACTCCCGGTCAAACTTTTCAAAAACCTTCCAACTTTCGCCAATTTACGTCGAAACGACCTACGGACCTCCAAATCAACGTCCGGATATGATGCTAAGACCAAAATCATCATACGGAGCTGTTGGAACCGACAAAACTCCATTCTGGAGTTGTCTTCACACAAGTCAAACTACGACCAACTCCTACGACTTTAACTTTAAATTTAGGGACTATGTGTCTTATTCCACTCTGAAACTCTCCCGAACCCGACACCAAGCACCTCGGCAAGTCACGTAACTATAAAACAAAATAGAGGGAGCAATAAATAGGAGATCAGGGCTAATATTCTCAAAACGACCGGCCAGGTCATTGCAGGATTAAAGTCGGTCGAAAATCGATCGATTTTTCCAGTTTTCCGATAAATTTCTGTCAGTATTTTTGAACGGTTTTGGACAATTTTCTAGTAGTTTTATAGAGATGGCTATGGGGTGGGTTGAGCGATTGCAGTGTAGGTTCAGCCTTAACCCGCATAAAGTTCAACCCGTTTCGCCCTGCACCGTATAACAAAATATTCTGTTTGCAAATAGCCCTGCACCGCTTCGCAAAGCAAAAAAAAAATTCTTTTTTCATTTTTAACGAGTAGTTTTTTTTGATTTTTTTTTCAAAACAAATTAACGATAACCTACAGCCTTCTTGTCTCTTTTTCTCGATAATTTCAGGTATGCCAATAATGTATTCTATGTGCTATTGTACGTCTATTACTAATCTTGTTAGAAAATATCTTTTAGCATATTACTCCATAATAAAAGTAGTAATTTGATTAGTGAGTTAATTATATTAATTAATTTTTAAATATGTCTTCTTAAAACTAGTATGCTACATTCCTACCGGATAGACGCACCAATATTTTAATGATTAATAACAAGACGCTAATTTTATATATATAGAGAGAGAAAACTATGAACAAGATAAATTTGTCAAAGAGTGCTAGTCTGATATTGTCCTTATAGAATAGTTAAAGAAACCTAAGGAAAACAAAAAAGAAGAAAAAGAGCTTGAATTATTGGTCATGTCTGAATATGTTCATATTTATCGCTAGAATATATTATATGACCCACACGTTTAAGCTTAAAGGAGCAAGAAAAGAGGAGATTAATAAACTAACAAAAATTAAAATTAAAATAAAAAATAAAGATGGGCAAGGGAAAATTTATAAAATAAATTCCAATTGAGAAAGCAGATTACAACCTTACGAAAACATTTGAATTTTCTTTAACGAAAAGCAGTAAATGCATGATGCAGGTATTAAACAAATGCATAACTCGCAACTGCACTTAAATTTAAAAATTGCTTGAACCCACCTCGCACTCGCCTCGTACCGCATAAACTGAAACATGCACTACCCCTGCATAAGCTTAATCTCGCCGCACCCTGTTTGTCATCCTTAGCTGTCAAGGTTCTTTTAGGTGTTGAGCTATAATTTTTCATTAGGCCTCACTGATTCTTCATAGTTGTATGGGCTTGGGGCGGTCCAATAGAACCATTACTGCTATTATATTGATATGGTAAAATTTTCACGCGGCGCCCAGTTTTGTGCTACCTATTGAATTTGTTTCTATTTTTTTTTTAAAGTTTTACCGATACACAATTTTTGGGTAACTTTAGATATTGTCACGACCCAATTTCACTACAGGTCGTGATGGCGCCCAACGCCGTTGTCAGGCAAGCCAACGCGGAAATATTAATAAGTTCTAGTTTTACTTTACTAAAACAGTTATAGCAATTTCTTAATTAGAATTTAAACCAAGTGATAATTAGCAACGTACAATAATAATTATACAATCCCAAAAGAATAGTCTACTAATGTGTGTGTCAAGACCTGGTGTCACAAGTATATGGGCATCTAGCAGAATATATAAAAGAATAAATCTATCCAACTGTCTGAAATAGAATAGACAACCAAAAGCAAAGAGAGACTCCATCATGCTGCTGAACGACATAGGAAGGGAGCAGCTCACCGTGGAATCTCGGACTACGATCAAGAATGGTGCACCAGACTGGTAACTAGATGTACCTGCCTCAGATCCTGTACAATTAAGTACAAAAGCGTAGTATGAGTACATAAACAATATGTACCTAGTGTCACACCTCTTTTTTACTTACACCCCCGTAAAGGGTATAAATAGAGAGTTTTTTCCAACTTATAATGACAATCGAAACAGGATTTATTTATTTAAAGATTCAAAGTCGCTACTTGGGATAATTTATGGTGTCCCAAGTCACCTGTTTTAAATCCCGAATCGAGGAAAGATTGACTCTGTTTTACAGTCCGCAAACACAGAAGTCCGGGTAAGGAATTCTGTTAACCCGGGAGAAGGTGTTAGGCATTCTCGGGTTCCGTGGTTATAACACGGTCGCTCAACTATTACAATTGGCTTATTATCTGATTTTAATACATATTTTAGCCTATGGTTCAATTTTAACTTTATAACCGCTTTTATTCATTTTTAAAGGAAGATTGCAACGTCATTTAAAATATGCCTTGAACCACGTCACATAAATGCACCTGCAGTCCGCAACACATTTATTTAACGTTGAGATTTGGATTTGGGTCACATAAATGTGCACCCGAGTTTAGGAGGTAAATTATTAAAACAACGCGCCTAAAGCAACTACGCATTTTCCAACTTTGCGAGGACCATAGAAATTTGCTAAATGGCGCGCCTCGATTTCTAAAGGATTAAGATATTAAACAAGTGAGGGCCTTGCGTTTTAAGATTTTATTTGGCATGGCGCACCTCAATTCCAATTTTAAAGGGAATTAACTAAATTAAACTGCATGAAGAATTTATAATGCGAAAGTTTCAAACTCAATGTCAATAATTCGTATGCTAACAGTTCGTGACATCAAATTGAGCTTATTAAAAGAACCCAGGTGGGTTATAGACCCATTGTCCAACTAATTATCTTTGTCAATAAATAGGAAAACACATATAGGCTCAAATGTGAAGCCCAAAAACTGAAATGTACCCAGCGGAGGAAACTTGACACAACTGGGCCAATGTTATAGCCCAATTCAATTCTTTAAGCACTAGTCGCTGCAGGAACCACATTGTAATAAAAATTCAGAATTTGGGCAACCAACTATTAACAATTCATGCAGGCTATTTCATCATTTTAAACCATCCATTCGAGTTTCCAGCAGAAGAAAGCAATTTCAAAATTTCAAATAGGCTCCATTCACTTGCTGAGTTCAGATCTCATGCTAACATACTTAAACAAACCATATGATTCAGACTTGCTATAGAAAAAACCAAATGTAAAGAAGTGATCCAAATCTGAGAATTCTATGAGTCAAGTTCAGGTTCCATTTAAGATTTTATTAAACTCCAAGATGCTCGTGTGTGAGAAAAGGTAGAATTGCATGAGAAAAACTGAAACAATTAGACTATACCTTAAGTTATTCGCAAGAAAATCTAAAGAAACATTAAGGGGAGATAAAATTAAACCAAAACTGATGAACCTACAACATGAGTGAACCAAACTAATAAGCATCCCACCCATAGCTATAAAACATTTTCAAAGACCAGGCAGCCTCGTCAGTAAGCTCAATAGCCACCATCCTCAATTACACATGTTATACTAGAATGAAAATTCTTGAATAAACCATAGTTAAATAAAATCTCAGCTCCAACCTTAGAACAAACAGATAATA